GTATTTGGTTTTTTTCACATTTAGCGTTAATTTATTGTACTGGAACCACTTTTTTATTTCTAAAAAATCTCTTTCTGCTATAGTTTTTAATTCCGCCCAAGTATTTGCAGAATAAAGAATTGTTGTATCATCTGCAAAGCTAATAATTTGTCCAGGACTATCAATAAGTAGTAAATTATTTATATAAAGCGTGAACAGAAGAGGTCCCAGCACGGTTCCTTGGGGTACACCCACAGAGATCCGTTCGTAATTACTCTTATACTCACCAATCTTAACTACCTGCATTCTACCAGATAAGTAGCTTTTTATTAGTTTTGACACATTACCTCGAAGCCCGCAATTCTCTAATTTTTCTAGTAATATCTCATGACTCACCGTATCAAAAGCTTTTGACAGATCTACAAAGATACCCAAGACCGGTATTTTTTTATCCACGGCATTGTAAATACAAGACGAAACGTATTGTATTGCATCTTCTGTGGATCTACCCCTCCGAAATCCAAACTGTCTCTCTGATATTATTCGATGTTTGTCCAAAAACTTAACAATTCTCGATTTAATAATTTTTTCGTAGATTTTAGACACATTAGAAATTAACGAAATAGGCCGATAATTAGAAATATCATACTTATCTCCACTCTTGTAGATGGGTATAACGACACCCGTTTTTAACACCTCCGGGAAGTAACCATTGTTAAAGCTGAGATTAATTAAAAATGCCAAAGGTTTTGATATTTCCGACTTAATTTCCTTTAATGTTTCAGAATAGATTTCATCATATCCAGGTTTTTTATTTGACTTTAGCTGTTTTATAACATCTTCCACTTCGTAATCAGTAGTGTTGAATAAGTACATTGTTGATTCTAAAATACTTTTCTTTTCTTCCTTGTAATTTTTAGGAACAGTAATATTTTGTGACAGTTTTTTCCCTATAGAACTAAAATATCTATTGAATGCATTGCATATGTCTTGTTGCTTATTTAAGTTTATTCCACTCTCTGTTATTATACGCGTTATGCTGGATTGAGGTTTTGTTTTTGTTTCGTATATTGTTAACGGTATCCCAAAGACCTTTTTGTTTTGTTACGATTTTTTCTATTAATTTTTCCACATACTTTTTCTTAGATATAGTAATCATTTTTTGTGTTTCATACTTCTGTTTCTTATACTTTGCCGCTATTTCAGGATTATTAGGAACTGCTGTGTCTGTTTATACAAGTCATTTTTAACATTTATTTCTTCTATTATTTTTTGATTTATCCAGCTTTTACGTGGTTTATTTTTCCAATTTTTTGAAACTGTATTTGTATTTTTCATGATATAATCTTTCAATTTGTTAATAAACGCAATAGTAGCCGATTCAATATTAAAAGTATTATATAAATTTTCCCATTTTTCGTTTATCAAATCATTTCTTAAATTTTTATAGTTTACATATTTCTTTTCCAATTTTACCTTAGTATTTTTCGTTACATTCTTTTCTTGATCCATCATTAAAGCAATTGGATAATGATCTGTTATATTGTAATGAAATATACAAGATTCAACATTTATCCCTTCCCTAACGTTTTGAATATATAAATGATCTAAACACGTCCCAGTTAGTGGTCTGGTACACTCATTAATATACGCTGTATATCCAAAACAACTTAGAATATTTTTATATTCCTCGGTAGCCTCCCAGTCATTCAAAATATCAATATTTATATCGCCCGTTAGTATACGGATTACATTGCATTTTTCACTACTTAAACAATCACATAGGTTTCGATTGAATGTCTCTATGCATGTCGATGGGGGCCGATATATACAGAGGACTTCATATTTTATTTTATTTACATTTATGTTCAATTGTAATGCATTTATAGGTCCAATTTCAACAATTTGGTATGTGTATTCCAAATTATTTTTTATGAGTACAATGACACCATCATTCTTGTTAATGTTACCGTTGTTGTAGATAATATCATAACCATCCATATTAAATACATCAATATCTAGCAGTTGGTAAGTTTCAGTAAGAACTATCACATCAAAACTAACAGTAATCCGCGCCAAAAATATTTTCAAGCTATCAAAATTCTTTGACAAGCTACGAATATTGGTGTGAAACACTCCAAATAACTGTTTTCCTTTAGTAATTGTGTCAAACTCCCCAATCTTTTCAATTACAGTAGGCTTTACTTTATTCTCTGTAAATTCTCTAATATAAGTATCCATCCCGATTTAATGACTAATATTTAATACACTATTTTAGATTACCTTTCTTTTTCATATATTTCTATAAATATCTACAATTATCTATATTAACATTCCTTTAAATACATTAAAAATTTAATTTACAGAGTAATTATCAACAAAAAACATTTAACTAATAAAAAACATAATAATACTAATCTATATTTAAAAATAGCCCAATCTTTTTATAGTAGTTTTACAAAAAATAATTTATGACGAATTGTTAGAATTTGCTCGAGTCCGATACGGAGCTGCCCGTTTCGCGGTCCCTTCACGGAATATGTTAGGTATCTCTTGCGCCTTGCGTTTTCTTTCGGAATCCGGTATTTCTTCCCTTAGTAGATCTTTGCTATTTCCTATACTATTGTGACTTAATAACTCTACTGTTTTAGGAGTTTGTAGTTTTTCTCCCTCGGGCTGCGATTCTGGGTAATTAGATTGATTAATATCTTGGATAACCGACAACGTTCTGGATCCAGATGCTTCTTCACTAGTATAACTTACACCATCAACTATTAACTTGTTTCCTTTTAGTTTTAGCTTCTCTATTTTGGGCTCTTGCTTCTTTCAACTTTTCGACTAAAAATTTTTTGTTTTCTCTGTGTCTGCCACTACCAAATCTTCGTTATAAATATATTTGTTCCTTTCAGTTTTGTTTTATTTTTAAGAAGTTCCGTCCTTTTCAAAGAAGACACCAAGCCTATAAGGATAGGACGATCTTTGTTTATATTTTTTCCCAGTCTAAAACACTCCGATATATCCTCTATTCTTAAATTGACTTCAAGTTTTTCTTTTATAAGATCTATAACGGATTCTACAAGATTTTCACTGTTTCTCTCTGGCACTCCATATATTATCAAATTCTTCTTCTTTAAAAACCTTTGTGTGAGGTATACTTGGTGTTTTAATTCCTTATTTTCAGATTCTAATAATTCAATTTTTCTTTCAAGAGAAGATAGCTGCTTATCAACTTTAGAGCCGAGTTTGTCCAGGTCTATCTTAATGTTATCAATTTTGGTGCAAAGATTGTCGTTGATACTATTCAAAAGCGTGTATAAATCCCCTAATTTAATTTCTTGGGTCATTTTATATACACCAATATAGTAGCAGTAAATTTTGAGTTACTTGGCAACACCGGGGCAGTACTTAGTAATTCTCTTGGTAGATATTATTGCAAATTCTTTGAATTCTTCTACGTGATAGCACAGGTGATTGAGATATTCAAAAAACTACTTTCATTTATATCTGTATCAATTAATTTTCACTCACCTGTACTATTTTAATAAACTGTATCACTTGTATTTAAGTTTTTTATTTTTTATTTCTTAGATAATTTTAGTTTTCGGATATTTTTAACGGATAAAACTTTTAAAACATATTACTCTTGATATGCGACGTTGCCGATTTTTTTAATGAATAAATAAAAAATAAGAAAGTTGACAGGAGATCTGCATTTTTTAGGGTTATGGTTAAGAATTGTTTATTTTTAAGACTTTTTAGTTCGTTTAATTTAATAATTACTAAAACCAGCAGTTCCAAAAATATGTTTAAAAATACTTATCTATTAACATGGATTTGGACGATAATAATAGGTAAGAATACTAAATTTATTTCTATATTCGGTATAAAATTGTTTATTAGGTTTTTAGTTTGCGATGTTTATGGTAAATAATTTTCATGTTCATTGCCTCTGAATTCACATGAGGACAGAGATGAGGATATCTATGGAAAAGTAACCACAAGAGGAATTGTTACATCATTTAAAAAATGTTGGGAGTTGAAGTTTCCCATCGAAAAGTAGAAAATGCCAATGCAAATGAATGTATTGTAATTGTGATAGAAGTAATTCCGAGAGTGAAGTTTATTATAATTAGTGGAAGTAATTCCAAGGGTGAAGAGTTTATTATAATTAGTGACCTGTGCTTCTTTTTATACGTAGATGTTTCAGGTTTTGAGAATAAATCGGTTGAACGAAACCCAAAATTTAGAGGAAGTATTTGCATACCCAGAAAATGCCCATCAAGTATTATATAGTTCAAATTTCCTTTAATGGTAGGCAATTATTCAATGCGAATTAACTTTTTAAGTGACTGAAATATTAAATAGTTTACAATATGGTATATCACTAAAAATATATTACTTTTAGGTACAATTAAGGCCCGATACATTTCAAAAAGTAGAATATTATTTTATATTAAATGAGGTATTGTACCAACAATCAATTTATATTAATACCGGAGATTAAAAAATAACAGAATAAATAGTTCTTTTTTTTATACTGTAAAAATAAACTATAGAATACAACAGTATTTAAAAAAAAAATTAAAAGGTATGTCCCGGCCGAGATTCGAACTCCGGTCTCTCGCTTCCTAGCCCGACTCCTTACGCACTGCTCCACAGTAACTTGCTTAGCGATAATTCAATGACGGTATATAAACAAAAAAATAGGTTTATATCAATATCTTGACGATTTGAATTGGCGCGCGGAGCGTGCTGACCAATAGCGCCTGTTATCACCTGTGACGTAGCGACCAACCTGCGCAATATCATACCTTGTATTCTTTGTACCATGTTTTTGACTCAGCCCCTAATCATGTTTCATTTGTTTAAAGCTTCATGATTTTTCCAATAACTGTCAGCACATTTTGTCCTACCGGTTGAGTAACTTTAAGAATATATAAACAGGGATATAGCTCAATATTTGTTATATAATAAACAAATAATAAATACAAATATGACTGACAGTTTTTATAATTACTTACCTCTCTAGAAGAATGTTCCTCTTCCGGTAGTTTAAAGGACACCTTTTTTCCTTCTTCTTTTATTTTAATTTCACTATCATTATAATCTTTGGCTATCATTTCGCACTCAAGTTCCTCTGTTTCACATTTTTCATCTACTGGTACCACCTAACACATGTAAAAATAAGTTATAAAAAGGTATATATTTTAAAGAAAATGTATTTTCCTTACTGTTAAATTTATATGATTTTGATTAAAACCATTAGAGTTTGACTTGTTTAGTATCGATTCTGTAATCATTTCATTTTCCGCAAGCATCTCCTCTTTCATTTTAAGATCATTTTCAAATATTAAACCAGGTCGTTCCTGCTAAAAAATATAAGTAATATTATAAGCCAATAAATTTCGCATATTTTATCCAATTTTCTTACCTCAATGCTCTCACTATATGCTTGTTTTTTTGATATCTCTAATGTTAACTCGTAGATCTTTGCTTCCAAATCTATAATTTTGCTTTCCTCTTCTTCCATATGCTGCTCCAATTCTCTAATGTTCTTTTCATGTTCCTGCTTTTCTTGTTCCGCTTTTGTTTGCACTTCAGTCAATTTTTGTGCTATTTCCTTTAAAAATGTCTTAATAAACATCTGATATTCAACCTGGCAAATAACATACCTGTAGTTCAAGTTGAGTCTGATCAAGCTGTTCTCTTACTAAAAGGGCATCTTGTTCTGCTGATATTTTAGCTCGTTCTTGTTCCATGGCCAGAGCAACAGCTTGAAGTTTGTCAGCATATGCCTTTTCTAAAGTTTCTTTAGCTACTTCTTGATATTGTTCATTACTTTCCTGCATAAAAATTATTATAGATAATTAACAAAAAAAAGTAGGTAACTCACTCTTAACTTTGCTATTTCATCCTTTAATCTATCTTCAGACCAATTGGTTCTAGCTTGTTGTAACTGTGTCTCTAATGCTGATAATCTACTCAGTAACCTTTCTTCACCAACATAAGCTTGCCAACTTTCTTCAGCAGATTTTTTTGTCTCTTCTACCACATTCTGCAAGGCATTTAATTTAGATTCCAAACATTGTTCTCTTTGATTAGCTTCTTGTAAAATTTGATTAAGTTTGTATAAGTCATCCAAAGGTACAACTCCTACAAATTAATATTAATTATTACGCATTAATCTTGGTATGCCAGTAAGATTACCATGTCTATCGCTTTCAGTAATACTTGGACTAGCCTTAGCTTCTTTTCCATCTGGCAAATATAGTTTTAAAGTGGCTATAATGCAACCATGGGCAACCTTTCTATTATTCTCAACAACATCAACACCAAATTGAACTATATCTCCTGAACTAACTTCATGATTATCTGCTGAGAGTCTATTATTATTTACAAAAGTCCCATTGCTGCTTTTGGTGTCTTGCAAGTAAAATTTGCCATTTTCATAACATAACATAGCATGATGTCGAGATAAAACTTTACAATCAAATATGGCATTTGTTGGAGTAGGTTTAGCTCTAGCCACTGACCTACCAATTTTTACAGGTTGATCCAAAGTAAGAGTTCTATCCTGGAATGGATGAGAATTTGGGCGACAGGCTAGGATAGCTTTAGCAGCCATAATTTCATGCTCTTCAATTATGATGTTTTCATTGATTTGTGGAGAATATGGAACATTTTTAACCCACGTCCCACTTACAACAACCATTGCCTGTGAAATAAAACAGTACTAGATAAATGATAAATTACACTTAATTTATCTGATGAGTGCAGGAAATCTATGACCTTTATAATTTATAAATATGTTCATTTTATTGATATCTTAAGCAAAAATGAGAACTTACCTAAATAACGAAAATGTGACAGCCAAGCTTATAAACATTTATAATAAAAATTAAAGTAAAAACTGTAAATTAAAGTAAATACCAAACTATGGGGCGTGAATTTAATCGTAAAATATACTCCAAATTGTAGAAACTGTCAAAACCGTATACCAATGGAGGATAATTCGTATTCAAATAAACAATCCAGTTTAAAGAACCAATCGCAATCTAAAGCATTCAAAAATATCTCTTACTACTAAACAATATATCTTTTACGTCGTATGTACAGATATTTTAAATTTCATTTAGACTAAAAAAGAACACAAATAATATTTTCTTATGAGAAATTGCAACTCTCTTGAACAAGAAAAAGAAACTGTCAAAAAGTTTCCTTATTTCTTATTTCCGTCATTTCCATAGATGTCATTTCAGTAGGATATTTACTAGGGACTTTAGAATTTAGTTTATTTACTAATATTGGTAGCACTGCACTTAGCTGTTAAACGTCAAATGTCTGCGTCAGAAATTTTGTTTTTTGCCTAACTTCAATCTACTTCAATCTTTACTTCAATCATATTTATATTTTTTACTTACAGCTGTTACAGCGTTTGCGTTTATGTTTGTGTATTTTTTACAACAGGCAGGCTGTGCAAATTGGTGCAAATCAGAAAGCAAGTGTGATTGTAGGTTTTAGAGACGAGGTTTCTTGCTTACATTATTGACATTATTATTTTATGGTTGCTTGTACTCAAAGACATTACAAAGATCTTTCTATATCTATTCTTGTACTTATACATCTATTTAAGAACTTGTAGTTGCTTGTAGTCATAGAAAACAAGACTTGTACTTGTAGTCTTGTGTATTCTATGTTCTATGGTTTTGTATTTGTACTTTGTAGTTATCTCTGGTAGTGGAAAAAATGGATAGGGATGTAAAGGAAAAACCAGAAAAACATAAACCCGAACATATAATTATTCGAAATACGGCAGACTACCAGCGAATGAAGCTAGAAAAATTGATGAGAAATCCTGTTAGTTTTTAAACGTCTTAGTTTTTAGAAAATATTAAATTATTTGTTTCTTAGGAAAAACCTGTTCTTATTCCAGAGAGACCTAAAGAACGTGGATCTCCTCATATTCCTGACTTTGTACGTAATGTTATGGGTTCAAGTGCCGGGGCAGGATCGGGAGAATTCCATGTATATAGACATTTAAGGCGTAAAGAGTATGCCAGACAAAAATATATGCAAGAGAAAGCAGAGAGAGTAAGCTGATGCTATTTTTCCTGTATGCAAGGTTTTTTAACATTTGTTTTAGGAAAAGAAGGATGCAGATTATAAAAATAAACTGGAAGAAAATAAAAAGTTAGCAGAACAGAGAACAGCTAAGAAAAGAGCAAAGAGATTAAAAAAGAAACAAAGTAGAACAAATGGTTCAAAAAAATTGAAAACGACACAGGAAGTTGAATCTGAGAAGAGTGATGATACTTGTAGTGATGATGATTTGAACACTAGTTTAAAGGAGGAAGATGACAATGAGGTTTTAATTCATGAAGATAGAACACAACATTATGAAGAAACTGATACAAAACTAAAATTAAATCTTAATAATGAAGATAACAAAAATATTTCATGTAGTGATTCTACTTTAGACTCTAAAGAAAGTGACCTGTAGTTAAATAATATGGAAATATACAAGAGAAACTAATGAGAATTATGATAAGACCAATAAGAGCTTCTTCAGATAAGGCATCTGTAAATATAAATTAAATGATGGTCTCAGATATAAAAATATCATTATGTATTAAATACATTGATTGTGCTGGACTTAGTGGGTATATTGCAGTTTCATAGTAAATGATCACTAATTAATTTTAAAAAATTATGTTTTATTTATTATCATAGTTTAGTCTATAGCTCATAATGAAAGAATAGTCTGTTGAAGCCGAATATAAGTTGAGACTGGAACTTGTGGGAACTTGACTGGAACCAAATACAAATAAATAATAGACAACTCAACTTAATCTAAGCAAAGATCTAGGTTTATATGCATGCGTCGTTCCGTCACTCCAATCATATTTAAATGTCAATTTTCAAATAAAAAACAAGCATTGAATTAAGATTGGATATACTGAAGATTGCATGAAATCTACGGATCTAAGGACGACACAAGTCGAATGCATATCCGAACGGAGCGGGCCATACTTTATTTACGCAGAATCCGAGCCGCCGCACTGTGGGGTATTAGCATGAAAAAGGTGATCGAAATTCGAAAAAGCAAATGTGTTTAAGATTTCCCAAAAAAAGATAAATGATAAGTTAAATCATGTCTGCCATGAATGGCGTTGCTATGGGTGTGTTTAGTTGCATTCATTCGTTTCAACGAAACGTCAATGTTGTTACTTCTCACAGATAAGAGGTAAATGCATGGCTAAATTTTATGTTTAAAATTATAAATTGTTGTTGTTCTTGTGCTCTTTTTACGTTTATATTATTGTTTTGATTGAAAATGGCTCAGCAAGCTGCAGGTATGTATTCTACAAAAACGTATTATTTATTTTGATATTCTCTATACTAACGATTTTTTTTTGCAACTAAAAGTTAGGCGTTCAGAAAATTTGATTAAATTTGTGACATTTTTATTATACTTAGAGATTTAGTTGCTCATTTCGAAGAATTCAGCATATTGTCTATATACGTTTTACTTAGTAAACATTGGGCTTTCCATACAGTAAAATAAAATACTGCGACTTTTTGCGACTTTGCTGATAAAATGAGAAAAACATTCTTGGTTTCCTCTAATTTGCCAATCAGTGATATACTAATGCGAGGTGTAAACCGCGATGGCATTGTTGTGTACAAAGCGATCGCATTAGTGCCATTAGCAGTATAGCACCATTTGGCATTAGTAGCGACTTTAGTGGTATGGGCATTGCTCGCGGATCAGTCGTAGTATTAGTAGTATTAGTTGCGATATTACTACTGGCATTAGTGGCATTGACCGTGGAAACATTGGAACAGTGATTTTTCTTTCTTTTTTTAGAATCGACAAATTATCCTTTATTTTGTTCATATTATTTCCTCTTTAATTGAAAATAGCAATAATTTATATAAGGTCTACATAAAAAAATTTCGATCAACTATCTGTGTCAAATACCCCACTGTGCGCCGTTCTCGGCCATATATCATTATTGGGGTACCGATTAATGAGTGCCTAATAAGGGACTACGATCACGGTTTTGAATTAAGTCACGACTATAAATCGCATCTCGAGACCGAGACTCCGTCTCGAGATCAGTCTATAAATACGAGTCTAGCTTGATTTTCATGCATCTGTTATCCAACGATACGATATTAATTTTATTGGTTGAATTTGAAGACTTCGATTGACTAGAAAATTAAGCAGTTTTTAAATTTATTGCATTTTCATGTTTCATGCCTCCGTACATCGGATGTACGATTTGCTTGTGATTCCCGCGGATTGGTGTCATTTTATATTTTCATTTCCATAACGCTTTTTGACGTATAAGGATAAATTAATAAATAAAATAATGGGTACCGAATAATGTACTGATAATTAAAATATTTATATAAAATTCAACGTTTTATGTTTGTAAATTACATTATTTTTAATTTAATATCGTCAATCGTCAATATCGTCATGAAAGAAAAATATGAAATATATTTCAATGAAAAGTCTGGCAATAGCACAAATAAAATCTTGTAGCTTGTAGTGACATCTGTACGGGAGAGGTGAAACCTAAACAATTATGAAAGTATCCTGCAATCACTAGCCTCTACGTCCCACTAGTCAACTCGCATACCCAACGTTGCCGTTTGTTGTCATTTAATTTCGCAGTTCTGCACGCCCATAAACGATAATCGGTCGGGTATTTCGCGTGCAATCTAAAAAAATTACCCCAGAGACCAACCAACGCAAACAAAACACGCCTACTGCGTATTTTGATTGCTATTACCGACAACTGTAAATAAATAAAATATAAAGACAGCTGTAAAAAAATAAAAAAAGTTTTGGTTTGGGTTGGGACTTGGGACACGATCCTGGGACCTCTCGTTCCCGAAGCGACGGCCTTCCCATTGGATCCACAGCAGCTCTTGCAAAATTGGCTATAGCTAGGCGGGGCTTTTCCGCCGTTTTTAAAATCGTTCATAAAATAACGCAACATTGTTGATGGGTATGCGAGTTGGCTAGTGCATGGGACGTAGAGGCTTCCTGCAATCACCCTTATTTATTTCAAAATAAGAGCACAGAATATATTGCTACGCAATATATATATTCTGTGATAAGAGTGATTTCGGGTTCACAATTTGCTCCTTCCTTCTTTTTATTCAAAGTTTAACACATAAGGACATAAGGGGCCATTTGGTATATATTTTATCTGTGACCCAAGATCATTCTTCCTGTCTCTATGTCTCTGGGTCCTATTTTTCTTGTAGTGCCTGGTGCCTGGTAAAATAAAAATCTGAAACACAGATCTGAAAATCACCATAATCCTTTTTTCACGCTTTTTTGATTGTTGTCAGATTTAAGAAAAATTTCTGAAAGGTTCCATACTACCACAGCATATTACCACAAAATACCGTATGATCGAATAAAAACGGCGCGCGGCGTCAGAGTGCAGCCACACTATCCTAAAAACGGCGTATCGGCGTAACGGCGTAACGACCTTGAATCGATTTCCAGTAATTCTATTGGCTGAAATTTTTGACAGATAAAATTTCTGAATTCTATTGGCTGAAACATGGCTGCACCCTCAGGGTGCAGCCACACTATCCTAAAAACGGCGTATCGGCGTAAGTGATGAATATAACTGAAAATTACAGGGTAAAGGTGTGGATCTGGTGGCTGACCTTGAAGCCCATATTTGCTGCATTTGATCATCGATACTACGCAAGCGCATATCGTCGATGTTGCCAAATTGCAGTTTATTTTCGAATTATTTGCAGTTGAAAAAATTTTTTTTTGAGTGTTAATCAATAATAATACAAATTCTATAATTCATTTTATAACTTCAGATTTATCTTGATATCCAAAATTAAGATAAGAAGGATAATGAAGATTGTGAAATGAAAGTATTATGAATATATAAAATTGTAATAATAATAACATTTATTTATATATTTACATTAGAATTAAAAATTATCATGTACGGATTTTTCCTTAATGGTTTTAAACTTATTAGAATTATTTTATTTCTTTCAAGTTATTTAATTTCTAGTTATTTACAGGCAACAATAGTTTTGATTATATGTATTGATGATTTGAAATACTACCATGACGAGTCTTATATACATAGAACAATACACATCAGTGAGAGATAGAGGTAACATCTTACCTATAATGTTACTAATATACTTTGATTATAATATTTGTGTCATAATTTCTTAAAAATATCAAGTTATTAGTGGATTAAGAGCAATTTTAGACATATATTTTATCGAAGAGTGTGTTGATAAGACTAAAATAAGCTTTATGTTTTATCTTTTTCTCTTTAGAAGGGAGATGGTTTGTGTCGTAGAATACATTACAGTATTTAATATCGTGTACTTTGATATTCTTTTCTTAATTTACTGCAATTTCTTGTTTCCTATAATGCTAAATCTTGACAATATGGTGAAGGTTGAGTTTTGATCTTATTAGTTTTATCTAGTTTTATCAAAGAATATCTTAAATTATAAATAAAACTATAATATTCTTTGGTTTTATACCTGTGTTTATACAAGACCAAATTAAGATTAGTTTGTAATTAGTTTGTGATTTATATTAAGATCTTTCTTATAATACCGTATGATCGAATAAAAACGGCGTCAGCGATGGCTATGAAATGAAGATCGCTGTCATTTTATATGTAAAATTATATGGGAATCGTCGATCGTCATTTCAAAAGCCAACTGGACGCCGTTTTCATTCGATCATACGGTATTTGTTATGTCTTAATCTTAATACTATATTATGCTTTGTCTAGAAAATAAATGTTAAAATATCTTAATTTTGCATATCCTATCCCATCCTTCCATTAGGAAAAATATGGTTTATAAATCATATTATGCTAAGAAAATCACATAAATTAGGTGTAAGAATAGAGAAATCTTAAGGTAGCAGAAAAATTAATGCAATATATGTATAAGCAGAATTAAACATGTTAACTGTAAATGTTGCTCAAGCTGATTCTACAATTTTAATTACGGAGGCTAAAAGGCCTTTTAAGGCCTCCATAGTTTTGATGTAATGTTAAAAAAAACCTATTATGAACATGACATGGAGCTACAGCATTTAAAAATTAAAAAAAAGAAAAAACTTGGACACATCCCTTTTAATTTCCCGAATTTTTAATAAAGCACTTTTTAAACGTATAGCATAATAATCTAGAGCAATTAGATTAATTATAGGAATCTAGAATTTTATCTCTATTTAATTTTATTGACTATGAAAGTACATAATAAGCGTTCACGTTTCACGTGTTGTGCGAAATATTAAAATAATAATATAAATAATATACTGGCGTACTATGATATACGTATATGAAAAAATAGCGTCAGCGATGACTATGAAATGAAGATCGCTGTCATTCTATATGGGAAATGTCCTCAATCGTCATTTTCCAGCCAACTGGACGCCGATTTTTCGATCATACTGTATATATTGACAAAAAAACACTGAAAATCACATATTTGTTTTCTACTGAAAATAATTCCAAAATAACTTGCAATCTGGCAACATCGAAGATGTGCGCATGCGTAGTGTCAGTGACTATATGCAGCAAAAACTCGTTTCAAGGTCAGCCACCGGATCCACACCATTACCTTTATATTTATCCCCGCACGAGAATTGGAGCATAGAAATGGAGTCTTGAGAGATGGGGAGATTTCAGGGAGATTATTGTCTTTGGGCACAAAATAGAAATCAACTTGGTAATGGTGTGGATCCAGTGGCTGACCTTGAAACGAGTTTTTGCTGCATATAGTCACAGACACTACGCATGCGCACATCTTCGATGTTGCCAGATTGCAAGTTATTTTGGAATTATTTTCAGTAGAAAACAAATATGTGATTTTCAGTGTTTTTTTGTCAATATATACAGTATGATCGAAAAAACGGCGTCCAGTTGGCTGGGAAATGACGATTGAGGACATTTTCATAAAATGACAGTGATCTTCATTTCATAGTCATTGCTGACGCTTTTTTTTTTCAATCATAGTACGCGGTATATAATTTTAATATTTCGCACAACACGTGAACGCTTATTATGTATTTTTATAGTCAATAAAATTATATAGAAATAAAACTCTAGATTCCTATCTAGATTATTATGCTACGTTTAAAAGTGCTTTATTAAAAAATTCGGGAAATTAAAAGGGATGTGTCCAAGTTTTTTTTTTTTTAATTTTTAAATGCTGTAGCTCCATGTCATGTTCATAATAGATTTTTTTTAACATTCCATCAAAACTACGGAGCCCTTAAAGGGCCTTTTAGCCTCCGTAATTAAAATTGTAGAATCAGCTTCAGCAACATTAACAGTTACCTTGTTTAATTCTGCTTATACATATATTCCATTAATTTTTTTGCTACATTAAGATTTCTCTATTCTTACACCTAATTTATGTGATTTTCTTAGCATATATGATTTATAAACCATATTTTTCCTAATGGAAGGATGAATAGGATATGCAAAATTAAGATATTTTAACATTTATTTTCCAGACCAAGCATAATATAGTATTAAGATGAAGACATAACAAATATTATAAGAAAGATCTTAATATAAATCACAAGCTAAGTCTTAATATTAGTCTTGTATTTCTATTATTATTATTATTCTTATAAAACTAATAAGATCAAAACTCAACCTTCACCATATTGTCAAGATTTGGCATTATAGGAAACAAGAAATTACAGTAAATTAAGAAAAGAATATCAAAGTACACGATATTAAATACTGTAATGTATTCTACGATACAAACCATCTCCTTTCTAAAAAGAAAAAGATAAAACATAAAGCTTATTTTAGTCTTATCAAGGGGCGGATACAGGAATTTATTTTAGGGGGGGCCCAAAATGAAAAGCAATGTAGAATATGGTTTTTAGGGCGCCATTTTTAACACAAAAGCCTAATATTTTACACAATTCACAGACTTTAGGGGGGCCCGGGCCCCATGGGCCCTCCCCCTGTATCCGCCACTGTTTATCAACACACTCTTCGATAAAATCCACTAACTTGATATTTTTAAAAAATTATGATAAAAACATTAATTATAATCAAAGTATATTATATTAGTAACATTATATAATAGGTAAAGTGTTACCTCTATCTCCGATTGACGTTTATTGTTCTATATTAAGACCCGTCATGGTAGGTAGTACTTCAAAACATCAATACATATAATCAAAACTATTGTTGCCTGTAAATAACTAGAAATTAAATAACTTGAAAGAAATAAAATAATTCTAATAAGTTTAAAACCATTAAGAAAAAATCCGTAAATGATAAATTTTAATTCTAATGTAAATATATAAATATGTGTTATTATTATTACAATTTTATATATTCATAATACTTTCATTTCACAATCTTCATTATTCCTCTTACCTTAATTTTGGATATCAAGATAAATCTGAAATTATAAAATTAATTATAGAATTTGTATTATTATTGATTAACACGCAAAAAAAAATTTCAACTGCAAATAATTCGAAAATAAACTGCAATTTGGCAACATCGACTATGTGCGCTTGCGTAGTATCGATGATCAAAAGCAGCAAATATGGGCTTCAAGGTCAGCCACCGGATCCACACCTTTACCGGTATATTTATTTGAGTTTGAGACTTTTTCAAATAATTTATGGTAATGGTGTGGATCCGGTGGCTGCCTTGAAACGAGTTTTTGCTGCATATAGTCACAGAAACTACGCATGCGCATATCTTCGATGTTGCCAGATTGCAAGTTATTTTGGAATTATTTTCAGTAGAAAACAAATATTATGTGCTTTTCAGTGTTTTTTTGTCAATATATACCGTATGATCGAAAAACGGCGTCCAGTTGGCTGGGAAATGACGATTGAGGACATTTTCCATATAAAATGACAGCGATCTTCATTTCATAGTCATCGCTGACGCTATTTTATTTATATTATTATTTTAATATTTCGCACAACACGTGAAACGTGAACGCTTATTATGTATTTTCATAGTCAATAAAATTAAATAGAAATAAAACTCTAGATTCCTATAATTAATCTAATTGCTCTAGATTATTATGCGACGTTTCAAAAGTGCTTTATTAAAAATTCGGGAAATTAAAAGGGATGTGTCCTAGTTTTTTCTTTTTATCGATTTTTAAATGCTGTAGGCTGTAGCTCCATGTCATGTTCATAATAGGTTTTTTTTAACATTCCATCAAAACTACGGAGGCCTTAAAAGACCTTTTAGCCTCCGTAATTAAAATTGTAGAATCAGCTTCAGCAACATTTACAGTTACCTTGTTTAATTCTGCTTATACATATATTGCATTAATTTTTCTGTTACCTTAAGATTTCTCTATTCTTACACCTAATTTATGTGATTTTCTTAGCATATATGATTTATAAACCATATTTTTCCTAATGGAAGGATGGAATAGGTTATTATTACAATTTTATATATTCATAATACTTTCATTTCACAATCAAATTTTCAACTGCAAATAATTCGAAAATAAACTGTAATTTGGCAACATCGACGATGTGCGCTTGCGTAGTATCGATGATCAAATGCAGCAAATATGGGCTTCAAGGTCAGCCACCGGATCCACACCTTTACCTAATTTATTTCAAAGAGCAAAAATATATTAAAAATCCTGAAATTCAGTAAAATTTTATCCGACCTGGCAACAATCTGACTGTCCGTTTCTGCGTTTCTGCTATTGCGCGATGTCGAAATTGTCAAACTGGACAAACTGTCAAAATCATCATAAAATTCATTATTGTAGTTTTGTGGTTTGTTGGCGAAAGTGTTTCGTTGGGCATCGTGAAGTGAATTACGGTAATAGACTTTGTGATTAGTGAAGTAATAGTTTTAATTTTCTTCGTAATTGTAAGTAATGCTCTAAGGACATTTATTGCGTATACAGTTTGAAATATCCATTACGGGCTGCGAAGAAATTACTTTGTCTATTTCATGCAAAATGGCCGATATTGATTTTTATCGCAAAAGCAGTTAAAAAACGACTGTAATTTTTGTCGTAATTCTTAACTGGGTCGGATTTGATGTTTACCTTGAAAAATCTCTTTAATACCGTAGAAATTGTTATGCTGTAGAAGTAGATACTTGGTGAGTTTCTGTTTAAATAATTGAATGTTCTGCTGGAATGACGAAAAAACGATCATCTGTAGGAGAGAACCCCTTGAAATACCTAAGCGATTACACATAAGTTTCTAATGATGATATAGGTATAATAAAGTAGTACATATTTGAAATATTCAAATAAAACTTCCTTATAGACCAAATCAAAAGTAATGCCTATGTATGATTGTGGAATCAATTTTGCATATTTACTTATTGATTTATATTTTAACATCAAGCTATAAGTTTATGTTAAAATGTTAGTTAAGTTACGAAACTTCTATTATAATAGATCTTTCGTCGTTATTTTTGTATAAATATGGTACAGTGTTTTTCTCTATTTTAACGTTATACCTAATAATAATTTTCCTTTTCACAAAAAAATTATATTTCTAATTTATTAAGTTATAAGTAGACATAGAAGTTCGTACCTACATGTTTATAATATTGATTTGATCGAATGTTTTAAAACCAACTTATTAAAATGTGTGCCTACTAACGAGAGGTCTTAGAACCTTTTTGTTCGAGAAAATAACTACTAGACTATCTATTTTATTAATGGATCTTCAATCTGATGGTTCTTTAATTTGTTTTTATCTCTTTGGTCATTAAACCAACAAAATACACTGGGTAAATGAGAAAGTTTTTAAACTACAGATTCTGGCCAGTTGCCAGCACGTTTATGTTTATTTTTGATGTTCAAAGGCTATATAAATAGGCTTATTAGGTTTTGAAGTAAGATGTTACATTCTTAAGGGCAGCTTTAGTCAAGTATATAATAAATCTACAGTTGTTAAGAAGACTTTAGACCCAGAACCATACGTATTATAAATAAAACAAATCTTGGAAACATTAATAGGTAATCTTCGTAACCTCAATCTCTTTAAAAAGACACAACTTAGTAGGTTTCAAGTATATTTTTAAGAAGCTTAAAACTAATGTGTGTATTGATTTTGTTAATCTGTTCAGTGACTATTGTAAACATACATAGGTCCATATCTACAAGTTAGTGGTACTTATTAGGTCTATAACAAAGAAATACAACTATATTTATTCAGACAGTATGGAAACTTGAAATCTATTCATTTTTTTAGTCTTCTGTTAAAAAGGATAGCAATAATTCAAGCATTTCTACTTTACTTTTTAAATTTTGGGATTGATGTCATTGGAAAGGATGGATAGGTATATTCTTACGTTTATTGTAGGTTGTAACGTTGCAGCATTAATTAATTTATCCAAGTCAAATATAAGTGTTAATTTACGTTGGCCTAACACAAACAAGAAATTGCTTATTAAATTCAAAGAATTTTTTGCATATTTTCAATAAAATCAAGCATATAATTAATAAATTTGTGAAAAATAATAATTATGGCAAGTGTTATAATTAGTAATAATTATTTTAGTTCATTATTTATTATTAAATTAAACTATTATAGAGCTAATGATCTTAACGAATCAAAGTGTGTATATTTTGCTTTTGTTTATTTAAGTCTGTAGATTTTCAATTTTCCCAAATAATGCGGACTGGACCTATTTTTTTTATCTTGTTTGTTCAATTAACATTAAGTTTAATTTAAATATTAAACAACAAAATAAAATTATACTTTAATGGTCCCCACTGGTATTTTTTTCGTGCGTGTTGAATTTATCGTTTGTCGCAAATTTTTAACTGTCCGATCATCGAAAATTTCCGTTGTTCGTCGTGCTCATCCGTTCTTGCTTTTCTTGCAGAAATGATAACGTTAACACTGGAAAATGTAAAATGCAAATGTGTATGCGACGCGAACCATTTGATGTAGAGATTGTAGGTCCGGATGGATACGAATCCACGGATCTCTCTCCAGTGCTGGTACTGATGGATACCGAAAACATAACGATGCAGTGAAGTAAATCAGTATTGGAGAGTATTGGAATAAAGAGGGAATTGTAACTGCTGCTGAGTTGTATTTATTGTTTTTTAAGTTTGCTTCCGCTGAATCGTAACCATATTTGAAATTATTTTGTATGATTTGAAATTTGTGTCTAGTGTTGTTACTTTATTGGTAAATTCAGGAAATTATGGAATATGTTATGATTATTCAGGGTCCTTCAAAGAAATCAGCAAACGAGGACTACGTTTAAATTTGGTTTTAGTTTTTTTTGCAAAAAGATGCCATTTTATTTCTTGAAAATATTATCTGTCAAATCCCGATCATTTTTCTTCTAGAAGTGCGTCCAAACTTGAGCATTTTATCCCGAACGAACCGAATGTGCAGAGCAGAATTCGCTAAATCTGGACCTGTCCCCGAGCCGAACCAAACTCACCAAACAGGTCCATACTTAGCGAATTCTGCTCTGCGCGTTCGGTTCGTTTTCATCGTTTAGGCTAAAATACTCAAGTCTGGAAACAGCTTAGCATGAAGCACTCCTTATGCGGCCGTTTTGATGGAAGGCTGTAATTGTGTCTCGACTATCTTTTATCAGTGTGTAAAGTTTGTATGGTAGTAGCGAAGTGGGAATACGCCGCAGAATTCAACTGGCCCGCAAAGTTATGACGCAACTCACGAAAGTTTGGTCGAACCTTTGGGTCGAACAGTCATATAACAAAATCTACAAAAATCAACCTGGTAAATAGTCTTGTCTTGCCGGTTATGCTTTATGCTTCGGAGACATGGACATTGTTAGCAGCAGACAGACGACGCATTGATGAGACGCACTTTCGAGATGTGGTGATGGAGGACGATGTTGTGTATGCCATGGACAGCACATCGCACTAATCTGTCAGCTGTCAGCCCTTAACCCTTAACTGGTCCGGTAATAGATATGTATCATAAACGGTCCGGCGTAGTCTGTGGGACTACGCCTTCTAAAAAGTTTAAAAAACGCAGAAAAACTAAAAAATAACAAATTTTTATTTCGTTATATATTATATTACGTATTATTGAACTAATCTAGACAAAAATGGGTTCAATTAATATTAACTTTAAGAAAATATAGTACAAAATAAAATAACATACATATAAATTTGAAAAAAAAATCAATTAGGTTTTTACCAAGCTCTAAAAAATAAAACCAAATTACTAACAGTCATTACAATATAGAAATAAGTTTTTAATACTATATATATAAAAAAATAAGTTATAAAACTGGAGTAAAGAAAAAATTTTTAGTTACAGCATGAGGCAAAGTTCATTGTTTTCCTAAACATGTTTTACACAATGGAATCGTACATTCTAGGCATTAAAAATAATTAACTAGGACATAACATTGTCTTTAACTAGGATAAGAACTCTATAGGATAAGAATATCTCCGTAGGCATTTTCTGGTTGTACAGGAATTGGAAGTATTCTACCAATTGTAAAGTGTATTTCTCGTGGAATATTTGACATTGTCAAACGGATTTGTCTGGCAGATTGTCATATTGTCACTGTCACAGTCCTCATCATATCATTTTAATAGAGTTTCTTCATAACTAGAGTCTCCTAAACGCATATTTTCGAAGACCCGGCCATATTTTACAAAAGTTTGTCACACACAAAATCTTACAGAAACGGTCCGGCGTCGTCTGAGAGACTACGGCTTAAGTAACTTCTGCCATAACTTCTAAAAAACTAATCCATTTTGAGTATAAATATGGCTATCAGTTGTTGACCGTGAGTGGGAGGATTAGCTGGAACGCCAATCCTGTAGGCGGCCCCAGTAACTAATGAGAATGAGTTAATTATTTGGCGTAGTCTGTCAGACGACGCCGGACCAGTTAAGGGTTAACGAAATTCAGTTATCACAAATACTTTCCAGCAGGAACGTGCATATATGGAAAGACTGGTAGTACAAGGAAGACTTAGTTCACCAACCAGGTGGTTGGATATGGTTGAAAAACTTATGAATACCAACCTGGAGAACCTCTTTGAGGAGAAGACAGAGAAGCTCTTTGAAGGACAGAGAAGAGGGAACATTGGAAACGGGTTATGCGTCTGGTCGTCAGATCCTTAGAACCCGAACAGACGCGCAACGTACAAAATTTCGTAATGCTTTGCCGCATAGTCATAAATTTGATTTTTTTTTACTCTGCCAAATAAATAGAACAGCTAAGATCAGGCGATAAGGATTTGGCAAAACACAAACATCAGATTTCTGTAACGGACTACAAAACTTTTGAACGAGGATTACTTAATGCAAAACAAAATTTAGTTAAATTAAAATTATACATTAGAATGATATAGATCCGGCGGAACTGGAACCTGGATGTAGATCCATGAAGCTTGATGTAACTCCGGACCCGAGACCCGACCCTCTACTTTGATGGCCACTTAAAAAACCAAGCCGCGATTCCACTGGTTAAAATTATCCTTTCTTCGGCCATGTCAACAGGAGCGTGCACATGGAGAGACTGGTAGTACAAGAAAGATCTGCAGCATCCTGTCGCCGGGGTAGAACACCAACCAGGTGGGTGGATATGGTTGAAAAACTTATGAATACCAACCTGGAGGGAGCCCTTTGAAAGACAGAGAACAGGGAAAATTGGAAACGGTCGGTGCGTCCGGCCGTCAGGTCCATAGAGCCCGTACCAGAGCCAATACACGTCGTACGCGACGTATGGACTTCGACGAAAGTTCGTAATGCTTTGCCTCATAGTCATAAATTTGAGCTTAAGAAGGTACCTCTAAGGTACCTTAAAAGGTAACGGACTACAAAACTTTTGAACGAGGATTGTTTTATGCAAAACAAAATTTAGTTAAATTAAAATAAAACGTTAGAATGATATAGATCCGGCAAAACTGGAAGCTGGATGTAGATCCATGAAGCTTGATGTAACTCCGGACCCGACCCTCTACTTTGATGTCCACTTCAAAAACCAAGCGGCGATTTCACTGGTAAAAAGTTGCGTCGAACTAGCTGTTCGTCGCAGACAGTGATGGGTAGTGGGTAAATAACTAACGGGTAGATAAATAAAATGTGTACCCAGTAATTGGGGAGCGTCTTTTATTCATGTACGGTTCAAAGGTCTGACGTTCAAAACAGGTTTTCTTTATTTTGTCCCACTGCCCGATAAATGATCAAAAAATTATCACTACAGATACTAAAACAATTATTATGTGCATGCTGAAAAACGAAACAATTGAAATTAAAATGTATAGGTAGATATGTCACTGTAAATGTCCGAAATACGGTAAATCCTAGGTTTTGCCGCATTTCGAGTTGGCTAGCGTGGTTATTTTGAGGGTGTTTTTATTGGTAATTCCTAGGTTTAGCGCGCTTCTCCCCGGTTTTACCGCATTTCGGACATTTACAGTAACAGATATAAACCAAAATAAAATAGTTTTTGAAGAAATATAGAACAGCTTATATCTTACCAAAAAATACCTCCTGCAATTTTGCAGCCCCGGTTCTATAATTTTTTGAACCAGGCAGAAACTTGATAGTAGTGCCCCTTCAGCGTTTGAAATAAATTTCTTAAAAAAAACTTACAAATGCCCTTTTAAAATATAAATAATTTTTTAATCTTTTCAGATAAAAAAAAACGAGATTTGGTATGTTAGTATATGACATAAATTAGGATTGGTTGACGTATTCAATTGCTTTTGGTCACTTCCTGTTACACCAGAACTGACTACAACTTTTGATTTTTAAATGGCACCGTTGGTCTTTTTTTCTTTATTGGATAGAAAATGACATTCTGAATAGAATGACATATCATATGTCGACTTTTGACATTGTCGCTTAATAAAAAATCGTGTTTTAAATTTCAGTCTACAGTGCCATGGCTATGTTAAAAACACTAATTTTTAATCAAGGAGCCTTGGAAAAATATATTTGATCGTCTAATGTTTTTAGTGTCTTGTCCTGGCCTGTTAAAAGATGACCAAATCGTATTTTTAATCATATCTCAATTTTTTCCAATGGAACAAGGGTGGCTCATTAGCATATTTGGAAAAAGCATTTTTTTACGAATAATTTGATACCACACACTTGGTATATTTCGAGTCAAATTTTCATTATGAACTGCATGTTATAATTTCAAATTAACCATACGCGATACGCGAACATGTCAAAAGTTGACATATGATATGTCATTCTACTCAGAGTGTCATTTTCAATCAAATTAGGTAGAAATATCCCGAGCGTGCTATTTAAAAATCAAAAGTTGTGTCATTTCCGGTCCAACAAGAAGTGACCGAAAACAATTGAATACGTCAATCAATGCTAATTTATATACATATACCAAATCTCGTTTTTTTAACTCAAAAAATAAGAAAGCTATGAGCCACTTTTGAGACGCACCCGGTATCTTCTTTCTCAGCCTGGTTCCATCCAGTGTTGGATATAGGCCTCTTCTAGGTTTTTCCATGCTTCGCGATCTCTAGCCAATCTTATCCATTGTCTTCCCGCCACTGCCCTGACGTCATCGACCCATCTCTTTTTTGGTCGGCCCACACTTCTTGTTGTTCCCCTAGGTCTCCATAGGATTACTTTTTGGGGCCATCGGTCTGGATCCTGTCTTGCCACATGTCCTATCCATTGCCACTTCAGAGAAATCACGCGGTATAATGGTTAGCATATTTTGTGAATGGGACAATAAGAACCTTTTAATAAATTTGCACGCTTTGTGGAGCAAGTTGTTTATTTTCAACCATATTATATTATGATTTTGCCGCCCGGGGCGGGTGCCACGGTTTGCCCCCTAGTTCCGGGGCTGCAATTTTCCACACAATCAAAACCTTTGAATTGACTGCATCATACTTATCTTGAATAATATCTATTGTAGAAATGATGAGTAAAAATATTCCTAAAATAACAAAACTTAACTTAGTGTTATTGTGTTTTTAATTTCTTTTTTTTGTTTCAGGTTGGAATGATATAAGGTTAATTTTAGTGCTGTGCTTCGGAATATTATCATGAAAATGGTTCTATCTCAAAGACAGCGAGAAGAGCTGTAAGTATTTGTCAGTTTGATAGTATGTGTCATTAATTATAAATGGGATTCACTTAATTTTTTATAACTTAAGTTAGAAAATAACATTTTGCTGATGTGTTAGATTTTCTCAGTACCTACTTAGCACAATAATGGCTTAATATAAAGGCTTTCGAATATTTTCTTCTATTGTGTATAATATTTTCCCACACATTATTTTCTTAAGTGGTATATTTAACTTATGTAGTCCAACTAAAATTTATCTGCGTAATAACTAAGAGTCTATTACGCTGTACTGTTCGGGTCGCTCTCAGGGGTCGCGTAAAGCGGGTGTGTGGCCGAAGGAAATATATTATATTTCAGAAATCTGCTTAAAGCTTAACCCGATCCTGTCGTGTTAAGCCATATCCAAAATTCCAAACACTCGTGCTTTGATTAAGGTTTGCAGATTTGCCATAAAATAGCGAGCAATTTGTTACAAAACCATATAAATTATATATCACTGTAATCACAAAACTTCAATCTATTTCCGTATTGTAACGGAATTTTAAATTATGTCTTTATTTTCGAGAAAATTTAGTCCAAATATAAGGAATATTTTATTGATGTTTTGACTGTTTGACCATCAAAATCTTAAAACTAAAGAAGTTGTCTAAAAATGTGCTACAATATTGATATAGTATATAGTAATATGGATATAATTCTTTATCTTTAATTTCCTTCATTTGTGTAAAAATACCTAGTTTTACACAAAACGTTAAATGCCGAACGCTTAATTTGCTACTTTTTCGGACTAGTGAAATGGACTCTTAAGCAGTAGCGGATATAGAGGGGGGGGGCATGGGTCCTTTGTGTTAAATATGAAACTTTTGGGTTAAAAATGGCGCCCTAAAACGCATATTCTACATTACTTTTTATTTCGGCCCCCCCTAAAATAAATTCCTCAATCCGCCCCTGCTGTTAAGCTTAAGCTTAATAATTCGCATAAAACTAAAGGGCTGTTTTAAATGTGACATACACCTAATGAAATTAGAATTATTAATTACTAAGAATTAGCGTTAATCCAGTATGTATAGTTTATCTGAAGTCAGTTGGAATAGATTGGGACTTAATTTCGGCACTGTCTTTGTCGGCATCGTCGCGCGTCGGGACAAAAGAATTCTCAGTACTCAAAAAGAGTCTCAGTACTTTCAATTGACTTCGGAAATACTATACCTCCATAATATTTGAATTAAGATGCATTTTCAATATAGAAAAACCGCATAGACGGTTTTAAACAAGAGGGACGAAAATCAATTTTTCTCATATACTTAAATATAAAACCACTTATATTCACTTAATTGGGTTTTCATCAAAATATCCAGGTTGGATAGTTTGTAGAATGCCAGAATTTTCTGTTTTAGCTCAAAATATTTATTAAAACTGATTTTGAAGTGTGCTGAATTAGTTTAATAGCTTCTGGGCATAAGTTGACGATTATTTTTCATATTTTAAGTTACTAGTCATATTTTAACTTGTTTGTATGATATATGGTATGTACTGTGATGGTAATTTGTCTACAATTATTTGCAGTTTGTTGCTCTTTTTGGTTTCTGGATTCCTTAATTTTCTTTCAATAAATAAAAAGTAAAGGCCTGTTATTATCATTTATATAATATTAAGTATAATTTTTTAATTAATTTCTACCACTTGTCATATTCGCTAATAATAATAATAATGCTCATACTTTTCATTTCTCGTGAGTATTGCTAGCATTATCTTAAACCGCAGTTGTGTGGAAACAACATTCTCTTAATTGAAATAGAGTTAAGTAATGCTAATTTTTTTTGCTAACCACTTATTCTATATCTTATTCCAAAGATAATGATGGGTTTATTTTTTGTGAAGCACTTATTTCAAAGACTATTCGAAAAAGATAATAATCATTTTTTTAACGACTTAAATTGATGGTTAGAAAGAGAGAGGTAGACGTCGTTGTGGAGGTAAATGTGTAATTTAATAATGTAACGGGTTTCCTGAAAATAATTTTGGTAATAGAGGTATAAGCTTTAAAGGTAGGTGAACTTTGCCTACCATAAAATTCTTGAAGTGACTTTATAAATTTCTTATTCTCAACATTAATTATGTATAATAGTTTGTAATATAAATGCTAGAATATAATATAATCGCATACAATATTACGACTCTTTTAGAATATAATTCCAATTCTCAAAGAATATTACTTGTTATATATTTTAAGGATATTTTGGTAAAATTAGGTCCAAACTTGTGAACTTTTTAGTATCTTTCTAAGTGAAAAATACATTTTTGTAGTGGGTTTAATTAATGAGTTTCTAGATAAAAGTTATGTTTATATTTAATCTTCTTTTTCATATATTTTATAAAAAAAAACTAACTCTAAACTTTATTTAAAATAAAGTTACTATTTTTAGATATACAGGGTGAGTCTTAAATAAGTGCAAATATTTTCAGGGGTATATTTCGACCCCAGGAACACGTCTATGAGTTTTTTTTCGCTAAAAAAGATGTTGAAAATCGTGCATTTTCTTTTAAATTTTCCTGTATATTTTTCGAAAACTTTTTAGAACTGCCTGTTCACCGCAAATTTTTCCACGGTATATTTCTTAATCTCTGATATTACCATAGTTACGGCTTTACTCCATGGTTACGGTAATAAAAGGGATGCAAATACAGAAAAAATCCGGTGGCTTTCAAAATTTTTTCAAAAAAAAAACAATTTTTTTTTAAACTGTCACACTTAAATTACTAGGTTATTTTGGACTTATCTGAAAAATGATAAAGATAAAATATGTTTCTTTTATCGAGATCTACCAGCCCTGAAAATATTTGCACTTATTTAAGACACACCCTGTATATCTAATATATACCGGGTGGTGCATCGTCGTTTTTTGAACTGTCCAAATATTGGCTGCCCTATTAATTTTAAAGTAAATTTGTAAATAGGTTTTTTAAAGGTCTGCGTATGGTGAATACACAATACGCCAATTTTCAACAATTTTGGACAAGCCGATTTTAAGTAATTTGAGAAAAATGCATCTATTTTTAAATTAAAAGTGTACAGATAACAATAACAATGCAAAACCAGGTAAATACCAACGCACCTTAAGTTGTCATCCAATAATTTTGTCAATGTCAAATTGTATTTTTTAAACGTTATACATTTGACTCATCCGAACCAGTTTAAAATTACAAAAATACATTTCGGGAACATCAGCGTAGGTACTATAACGTAGTAGTACAGACAGCACAACAAATTATATTTGATAATGATTTATAATAGATTGACAACTTAAGGCATGTTGACATTTACTGGTTTTGCATTGTTACCTATTCAGTTTTAATTTAAAAATAGATGCAGTTTTTCATAAATTACTTAAAATCGGCTTGTCCAAAATAGTTCAAATTTGGCATGTGTATTCTTCATACGCAGACCTTTAAAACCTTTATTTACGAGTTAGCTGTAAAATTAATAGGCGAGCCAATATTTGGAAAGTTCAAAATTTGCATGGGATTTCGTATGTTTCCAACGACGATGCCCCACCTGGTATAAATAAACCTTTCAACACATCAAATTCTTAGTAAAGCGTTGTTAATTGGTAATGTTTATAATTTTATTGTGGGTTTTAATATTTCTGCAAATAACTAAATAATTCGCTTGGTATTCTTGTCATTTTTAAATTTGAAAAGTAAAAGTTTTTTCTACGGATTGCCTTTACAAGAGGAAAAACTTTTTTATTGTTACCTTTTTGAGAAAAAATGCATTCTTGATAACATTTTTTGTTTGTTCTAAAATGGTAAATCCCGTTTTTACTTACTCACTGCTCATGCTTCTTTAACACGTTAAAACAGTAAAAGATGTGATATTAATCAAAATTAATACTATAATAACCATCTATCAGAGAATGAAAACGAAATGATATTACCATAAAAACGCGTTTTGACTACTTACTTTATTTCTCCAAAAAATCCTTTATGGGTATTTCGCCACTGCACTGCAAGAAAAATCTACAAAATAAAATAGTTATTTTTTGTAAACACTTCTGGCGTTAAACCTAAACGGACACTGCTTGTCAGAAGTTATGTTTACAGTAATAAAAATTTTGCCTAACAAAGAAAAAATGCTTAACGTTTCGAAAAGTTTATCTCTTTCCGTCGTCGAAAGCAAAAAAATACAAAGAATAAAGAAAACAACTATTTAAATATTTAAATTCAACTATTCGAGAACACTTTACTTTTTTTAAAACAGATACGTCTACAAGAAATCTACTGTTAACAGAACGTCAACGATTTCTTGTAGACGTATCTGTTTTAAAAATATTATTTAAATTCAAAAAAAAAAAATTAAATTAAACTATTCGAGAACACTTTACTTTTTTACGTTCTGTTAACAGAACGTCAAGGGTTTCTTGTAGACGTATCTGTTTTAAAAAAAGTAGTGTTCTCGAATAGTTGAATTTAAATATTATTGTAAATAGTTTTTTTCTTTATTCTTTGTATTTTTTTGCTTCCGACGACGGAAAAAGTTAAGCCAGTGCCTTCTATTAAAAGATCAGCCTCCGGGCGAGATTTATGACGTCACGCTAGTTAGATATAACGGATTAATAAATATGTTGTAGAATACATGGAAAACATAATTATTCCTCAGATTTTTGGTTTGTATTTTAAAAATGATATAGTTTACATGAAATATACATAATATACAGTTAATAACTACAACATATATACCTATTTATAGTAATAAATACTTTGGCAAATAAACTATGAACCATACAAATGCAGCAAATGTTTTACAATGTACAAATAATGTATAGGTACATAAGATAATGGGTAAAATGTAAATATATTTTAAATTTTGGGGTTTGAAAATCGATCTAATTTAACAAAAAACATTCAGTTTCTACTAATAGTGATGTATTATTATTTGCATTCACAAAATTTATATGTATATTTTGCAAGTATCAATGTTCGAAAAATTATATTTACAAATAATACAATATTAT